GCGAATCCTCTTATCACGCGTTACTTCCAATCCATCAGCTTTCAAAGCATCGCCCACACAAGAAACCTTTATCGGTCCGCGCTACTTTCCTCTCGAGTTACAAGCCGTTCGTTAATTAAGCTGCAAAAGGACAGAGAGAAACGGAATATGACACCTGCACTGTGGCGACCACTTCGCATCACAACTCTCACAAGACCACAATCCACGTGTCGCATTTGCAGGTGGTTGCCAACGCTTCGACTCTAGTGGCAAAATGTTAGTTCGCTATTAAATCTGGTTGAGATTGGATTTGTAAACTCACTTCATTGGTGTTCCAACGATGCCGCTGTGTGGGGAAGTGGTCCGCCTTGGGAAGACTCTCCAAGTTCTCTGGTAACTTGATTGGCTCCCCATCTGCAAAAAACAACATCACTTGTAAGCAGGATCTCGGGGTTCTGACGGCGGTGATACGAAGACGGCTATCTTCCGGGTTGCAGCGCCGTGTAGTCTGGTGGCTCACCACCGCCCTGATGATGGGCTGCCTCTGAAACGGTTGTAAACTTCTACGAGACTACACGGCGCTACAATCCACAAGACAACCATCATCATCATCATCATCACTTATAAGATTTAAAGCCCTCGTTTGCCTGTCAATTACTCACTGCATGTTTCGTGTGGAGTGTAATCCACCGAACTAACTCTGCTAAAGACGAGCAGAAATCCGCGCAGTATCTACGGGGAGTACCTGGGTAGAATCAGGACGCAGTGCATATTTTTGGAAACGGGATTTTACATTTAATTTAACCTTCACCAGACGCCAATCGTAACCTTGAATTTTGACCGTGCTCTCCCCACCTGACATAGACGCCAGACGATTGTAGCATTAACTATGAGCAGGGGATAAAAGCAGTCTTCATCAAAGCTTCACAAGCTTTCATGGCGACTGACATTAATAAAATATCCTCGGGCTATCAGCCGTGTCATCTGGCTAAAAACCACCGACGTTTCAGGGATCACCTCTGTCCCCACCGCCGTCACTCCTACATCACAGCCCTGGTGATGTGGGGGTAGAGATGCTCCCTGAAACGTCGGTGGTTTTTAGCCAGATGACACGGCTGATGGTCCGAAATTTTGTTAAAGTATAGACAGTTCAGAAACGTAAGTCCTCCACTGTAAAAAATATATATACAGATGTTGGTTACATATAGTCGCAGCTACTCGTGTGTTGTAAATAAAGAAAAAGTTGCTCAGAGAGAGTACGAAGGTTGAGTGATAGCGACATAATGAAAAATGTCTGCTAACACTGCGCCCATGGATGCTATAAATGTATGAACTGGAATTACTATGCCAACACGTTCGCGGTGGTTTTATGAGTCAAACTGAAGCAGGCAGAACAAAGCTTTTCTCTGTTCTGTACAAAACCATTCAATCAAGTCTTGCTTTAATATTAATCCCGATGTTTAAACATAATTTTCACTGCTAATGAATAACATCGAATCATTCAGTGACCTTCACGCACAAAGCATGAGGAGTAGAAGTTCTTCATTGTCATTTTCCGGGAGACTTGAAATCGGGTATAATTCTTCTCCGGTGCAGGCATAAAGCCAAACCTGACGGGGCGGGGGACAGCTGAGTTATGCTTGCTAGAGGGCGGCTGAAGTTTGGCTAGACTTCTCTCTCTCTCTCTCTCTCTCTCTCGCTCCCTCTCTCTGGGGTGAAAGGGGGGGGGGGTTGAAGAGGGACGGTACCTCGTACCAACGCCATCGATTTACCAATCCAGCAAACGAGGCGAGTGGGCTGCTTCAGGGACACGGAAATTTTCAACATCGAGGTTTGCGAGTAGGAAACTAATTAAACGTTTAACTCTTTAAAGCACAGTGAAGACTTTACGCACAACGCACTTTAACATTAAACGACCCTCTCTGCCTTTTTGCACACAGAACGCATTCTCAGTGCAATCGGCTATTATCTCCTGAAACAGTTTCAAACTTTATTTATTTACAATGGAGACACCTTGTGTTTTATTTGAAGTACGGACTGGATTTGTAAATATTATTTAAAAATTCCTGCCTCGGCTCAAAGGCAAAGGACCTTCTTTAAACAGTTTGATTACTTCTTCAGCCACTATCCAGAGAGAGAGAGAGAGAGAGAGAGAGAGAGACGCATCTACAAACCCAAGGCAATTTATAAGCTTTAAGACACAATAATAATCGTTAATTTGCGCTGTTATTTGCGGCTGTCTCAATATGATTGTTACCGTTGAGACGGGATGAGACTACGTCTCCGCACATCTGTGGCCGCTAACGGGCCGATTTTCCGTCTCTCAGACGACACATCGGAGAATATGAATCGAACTGAGAAAAACATTTTCCAGTGTCACGTCATCCACCACAAATCCAACGCGGGCTGCTTTGGGTGTGAACTCAGGACTCAGCTATGAGAGCGACCGGTGACTATCCGCCTGAGCTAAGGCACGGCGGCCAGCTCTGTGACCCTACAGTGCTATTCCCTCTACCATCGACTTGTATCTTACTAATTTCATTCTTCCATTTACATCGAACTGCGTACGTCAGAACAACTTATTATCTTCCTATGGGCGAAAATTTTATTATTATGTTGAACAATTTATTACACAACAAAGTGTTTTCCTTCACTGGCTCTCTACGAACATTTTAACACTCCGGCTTGTGTTTAACGCCTTCCTTCCGCACGTTCAAGGATGTCAGACGCAATTGCAGTTTCCTATTCAGTGCGACCAAAATACAACACGAAGAAGTTTATTTTAAGGCACTAGGCCTGTACCAGAATCTGCCTTCAGTAAATGACCGAAACCAGGAAAACTGCTCTCTCCAAAATACACGTCAGGCCCATAACCTCCTGAGCTAATCTCAACCAACATTCGGGGGGGGGGGGGGGGGGAGGCATGATACTTTCCCTCAGGACTGGCCTGTAACAAGAGGCCAAGAACAACAGCTTTCTCCTACAGCCTATTTTTCGTAATCATAAATCATAGGTCATTCATTCTCTTTTATTACTTTCCAAAACATTGATTTCTTGGTAACTGGTGTTGAATGAGGTGGCCTGAGGGAGACATTAATTATTTGTTGGGTTAAAAACGCAGTTCGTAAGTTAAACCGCCGAAAAGTTTCGCTTCTCTCCCACATGCAACGAATCAGTCACCCTCACGATGACAAATTACCCGCAGGTTTCATGCAGCTCTTACGATAGATTCACAACAGCCACAGTTCAACGCAGACTTTGCATTCGCAAGTTTCTACGTTATCTGAACATTATACAACTTGGTCGTTCCATAACACTGTACTTTCACAATCTCCGACACTAATAAATTGACGCAAAGCAATTCTAACGTCACCTCGGGCTAATCCTTTCGCCTCCCGACGCTACGTCATTTCCAAGGCTCGAGACCTGGCTTCTAAACGACCATAACCGGGTTTTACGGCGCATAAAAGGATCTGTGTCCACAGGTTGCCACGCCAGATGTCAGTGCGAGCGCGATGCGACGGTTTCGACTGTGGTAGCAAGAAACACAAACGAGGCTACGATGGGTCCTATGGAAGGGCTTGGCGGGTGCCTGAACCATACCACATGACAAGGCCACGCTATCGCAGGCAAGAGACCAACCACAGTTCTGCAGATATCACACGGTGTTTCCAAGTTATGAAAAAGTCATCAAATTATTAATGATCCCTCACGTTAAATCCATGCAGATTTTATAACGGACATTCCACCCCGATGTCTCGGCAACACTTTTTAGAAAGTTCAACAGTAACAAGGTGTCCGTGAATACACGAAATTGTGTACACAATTTATCAACACGTTCATAATAATTACGCGTTTATAACAAGACTTCAGGTGAAGAATTCAAACATGGGGGCAGATGTCAAATACAGACAACCTCTGACTCGACCGGTTCTTGGTGTCAGGCAACTGAAGCAGACAGGCCACGACCACCTCCTCAAATGTTGGCCCACAAATGAATTTCACGTTGACTCCCTTCTCCGGGAAACAAACGGGGTACCTCCTAAAGACGAAGCGCGATTATTATGTGGTACGAAACTCACCAATTTACTTCAGCAGATCACAACACAGACGAGGATCTCTGCTATCATGAAACCTCAAAGTACCATCGTCACAAATGTCAGAACAGTCTGTTCAGTCCAGGACACACGTTCTCAGTCTCCTTCCCGAACACCGACTATGTTATCACCTGCTTCTCCCCAGTCACATTTTCCTTTAAGATTTTCCTGCCAAAATTTTGTTAGCACCTACTGGTTCTCGCTGGGTCCACAATGTATTACCCATGCAACCCTCCTAGCTTTAATTAGAATAAGTAATAAACACAAAATGTGATATTCCTTGTTACACGACCTTTCCCGTTCTCCTCTGCCGAATTTAGTTACGTGAAATTAAAAGACAAATCACAAATTATTCAAAAAGAGAAATCGAAACATAAGTATCAAAATACCATTAAAAACACTGGCTATGCTGGCTTCAAATTTGTTGTAGTTTGAGATAATTTAAAGAAATGTATTTCGCCAGCACTTAACGGTTAAGAAAGCTTTTTGTGGATTCTCAACGAAAGCAATTGTGCCTTATGATTTGAATGTATTAAAACACCTCACATGTTAAACCACGGGATGCATTATAAAGTCGGTATAGCAGAACTAAAGCCACTCTCATTACAGTTTCAGTAGGGACATGGAGAAATATTTGCCTAAGAAGTGGAGACGGGATTTCCAACACCCAGTATCACGAATTACTGAGTCAGCATAACAAGTTATACTCTTCAGCAAACTAATCTTATAACCTTGCAGTTTAATTAAGGTCGCAGCCTTGGAAGTCTTCGTTCTGTTCGTCATGACCGGTCGCGCAGAATACCATAGCAACAAGAAGCAGACGGAAACATCAACTGATGCCTGCTTATGAAAAATTCGACCTCCTGCCCAACGCGACAGAGAAACGTTAGGATGATGGACATTTGCAGGTCTGACGGGCGTTCAAGAAGATAGACTAGACTCGTAAACTAAGACCCACAAAATCACTTACAAGGGCCCGTCGTCTAACCGAGAACCGAACCAAGCACTCCTATAAAAATCTGATCCTGGTACGATAACAAAGGTCCTTCGGCCGGACAGGCCCTGCTCAAAACAATAAAATTAAATTCTGACGGTGGCGGCTATGGTAGCAAGAAACACAAAGGATACTATGGTGGAGGATGGAGGAATCTGTTAGCGCTCGCGAAACGCAAGCAGATCCAGACAGTTTTGTTGTTCAACACAAGAAAATCATCATTGAAATTGCAGCAATAAATTAACAAACACTAGAAAGGAGTATAATATTAAAATAGATTTTTGGAGCAACTTGTGAGGGCATAACTGTAGCAGCTGGTTCAA